AAAAAAAAAAAAAGGTAGGAAATTGTGGTATAATAAAACTTTATAATACTCAAGAAAAATCATGTATTCAAATAAATTTATGAAAGAAAAATGTCTCATCTTTCTGCATGGGAAAAGAAAATAAACAGAGATTATAATTTCCCAGGTATGCAATAAAAGAATGTGCAAAAGTTTTAAAAACGATGCTTTATAATCGGCAGTTTAAATGGTCCACAGTAATGGCAATTGCTATGGTGAAACATTTTAGTAGTAAATGAATTTGCAAAACATTTACTGATAATCTGTATAATCCATTCCAAATACAACGCCAATTACTTCCAACAAGGACAAAGTAAGATTATCAGTAGTAAAAAAAAATAACATCATTTTTGTCAAATAAATGAGGATTTGGATAAATAAGGCAATAGTTTAAGCAACAGGTGCATTTGTTCAACCGTGTATCTAGTTAGTGATAACAAGCATTTGAAAATGGTGTAAAGTATTCCTGTAACAGATTTTTCAAACAAATTTAGGAGGTTTATAGCACATTGAGGTCACCTCAAAGAACGCAGTGTAATAACAAACAGTGGAAGAAGTACGAGCACAGTTATGGGGCAAACTAATTGTCGGCAAAAAAAATTTGCATCTATCTCCCAAATCGATAGGCACACTGGCAATCTATAATAGAATAAACTTCTTTTCAAGGGCATTATTACGAAAGGTTAAAAAGAATAACCAAATTGTTATTAAGAAAAACTACTGGACGAAAAATTATGGCAGAAGAAGCAGATTCAGAAATGCTTTATAAAGTTGCAGCAATACCTAATAGAAGATATCTCTCTAATTTAACGAGGTTAATTCGTTTATATTACGACCAATTGTTTTTCTAATTTCAAAACCTCTGGTCAGGGATCCATTACTGAAGTTTCAAAATTTGAGAAAAAATATCTACTTAGCTGCAAAGTAGGAAAAAACCAACAAGTGTTCAGAGGGAGTCGTTGAGGTTAGTGGCTTACTGTCACGAATGTTTTCAGGAAAAGTCTCTTGTTCATTTATTTAGAAAAATTGAAGTAAAACAGAGAGGTTTACAAAATTCAGTTATTTGTAATCTTGAACTGGGTAGTTTGAGTCCAAGAGACGATTAAAATTTGCAGAAAAAAATGAAATTTTGAAAGGGTAGCGAAACTGTTGCAAAATTGGAGAAGTTCTATTAAATCGCTACAAGTTCCTTTGTTCAAAAAAAGATTACTGTTAAAGCCTACAAATTTGCTGTATCTCGCAAATGCAGCTGATATCAATTGCAAGTAAATATAAGTTTGTTTAGTAAGGCTCATAAACTACTAAATAGCAGATTTATTGACTAGCCAAGTAAGACATCCTCTTAAGTAGAGTATTGAAGAGTGATAATTTTTAAACTTTTTTCTACATTAAAAATTTTTTTTCAAGATTATTCTCATGCTTCATATTCTAACTTCTTATTTCTACTTTCTAACCCACCTTTAGTCCAAAAACACTGCTGATACACGTTTCGAGTATCTTCTTATCGGTTTTTAATTTTTTTTAAAGAATAAAAGCTCCCAAAAATTCTTTAATACCTTTTTTCTTTGTTCATTTTCAACTTTTAGGGTTACTCACTTTTATCCTGGTGTGAGACTGCTGCAATTACTGCCCAACTTTTTTTTCTTTATTTTCTTCCTGCCTCACTTTTTTCTGTCATTCAGCCTTCCAGACTCTCAGCCTTTAGTAGACAAATGACCATTTAAAATCTCCACGCTATGTTACGGCTTACTGTACTTTATCACTTTCTCCGACTTAATTACTTTACTGGCACAGTTTAAACCATTTTTACTACCCCTTGTTGTGCTTCCCTTTCCTCCATCACATCTTGTTTTCATATGCCAAAAATTGTGACGCAAAATTAATTTTTTGTGTGGTATTTCAAATATCTTGCCCTTTTTAGAATCATGACTTTACCTATTTCAACACAAACAGGTGCAGAAACAGGCAATTTTGTTTTGATATCCGTGTAATACATGGTGCGAAAGCTTCTTCACCATCTGTCCTCGAGAGTATTAAGACAAGGCGCCCGATTATTTTAAATTTAAACTCCCCTCAAACGAAAAAACTCCTCTAAGAAGGTAGACCAACTATAAGAGGCATAGCAAAGATCGAGGAATTCATTGTAAGTGGCAGCACTGTCTACGGTTTGCTATGTTTAGTGCTGCATAAATTCTTGATTCTAGTCGCTCGTAAGTTTCAAGAAGCACTTCATCTATCTCTTTGTTAATTCCTTTTTATTTGTATTTTTTGCCATTGTTCTGCTGATTGTTTATATTTAGTCAAAAATCTGTAACACAGCACTTCATAGAAGTAGGCTTAATGCCAGAATAAAATCACGAGACACATGACGATTAGCTGTATATTCAGAGATAAAGGTTAGATTGGTGTCTCTCAGCAGCGAAGCGTTAAATACAATGGAATTAAAGTTGTAATCACAGGATGCTGCTTACTAGTGATTGGCGAAAAAAAAAGCTTCAGGAATGGTTTGCTGACAGTTGTGTAGTCACTTGCATTGAATCCATGTACAGGTAAACGTCCGTCCAACTGTTGCAAATCTGTTGATAGTCTTCCTGATGCGAATATAAGTATTAAGATGTGAAACTCTAAATTACTTATTGGAAAGAGCTAGTGAAGCGGATGGTGTTAAGTGATTTCCTATTACTGTTTGGAAGATGAGTTTTAAGAATTGTTTTCGCCAGCTTAACATACACCAATCTGACAACGGATTATTTCTGTATAAAAAAAATCCGTTATCTAGTTTTCACTAGATGCGCGCATTTATTGAAATTTTTGTATAATAATAACCTTCGTTCTTCCTCCTTATTTCGGCCCTTTAATCAAGTTCATCTTATATTGTAAGTGCAAGGTTCTTAGCTTTCTAGATGCAAGTTTCACTGTTCTTGCTACGTAACGGAACTGATAGTTACTGGTCACGATAGATGCAAAACATGCAATTCTTAGCAAATTCTTCCATAAGTAAGTGCTGTTTCGACCGAAAATTTTAAAGATGGAAACAAATAAGGAGCTGTCAGGTTACTTAAAATCGAGGTTTCCGCAATCCGCCAACATTCCGTTCAATATTTTCTGGCGTTCTCTCCACTCATAGTTGATAGTTTCTTAACTACAACAGATGCTGCTTTCTTTATTCGCTCGTTCGCTTGCATCCGTCGCAAAAAAGATCTTCTCGCCAGTATTATTTGTAAACTTCTTGTTACTAGAGGTGTAGGTTGCAAACTTGACCACAGTATTCGTTGGAACAGCCTTATGACCTATCGTCCAAACTTCTCAAGTAGCTACAATAACTGTTGAAATTGAGGAAACGTTAAATTTGAAGTTTTGAATACTTCATATCTATAGCATCATTTAATGGGCGAGATTTATTGTATGCTACGAGTAAAAGTTGTTTTGGTCTTGAGTTGTTTGTTTAATTCAGCATTCTAACTTTTAAAGATATAAATGGTTTACAGCGGTAAATTCGAAAATGCACTCACGCCAAGGTTATCCGCATAATATCTACACCAGAAATGCTTATGAACTTGGTTTGGAGGGAGAAAATTCACTATCGAAAAGGTAGCTGCTGTAATGGTAACGTGATGATAAAAAACTATTTACTAATTCCTTTTTTCCTCCGTTTGTTACTCTTAATAGGATTTCAGATATAATTAGGTATCCATTTTATGACTTCAAAAGTTTTGTAGGTTTTCTGAATCTTTTCGAGAAAAAGTGACTTTACATCATAATCAGAATATTATCACTGGGTCAGCAGAACCGTGCTATGCGCGATATGTTGATGATGAAAGTAATTTTTCACTGTTTCTGCGCATTGGTCGTTTAGGTATTTTTAGTTAGTGTACGTCATCTAGGTAACAGACTTTTGCTCAAAAAAATCTTTGTAATGTGTTCATTATTTAGGAAAGGATGGAATTTTTTTTGCAATGTTGCTGTTCCGTATAAATTTACAACACTTCTTGCGTTACAGCACCTAAGACTGTTGAACTTCCTCCACCGTACTATGACCCACCAAAAGAATGTTTCGGTTGGTATGGACATTCGATGCCCGCGAATCCCGCATGTTTTAGTTCGGGTCCGCGGACTCGGTTACGATCAGATATTTCGGTCCAGCCGGTGCAGAAAATGCGGACACTCGTTCTTTTTCCTGCAGTGCAGCCTCCTTCACCAGAATGGAGTTCTGATGAAGAAGTCCCGTCATTTGCTGCGTCATCCAGTGAATTCTTATAAATTGCCAACTATTTGGGTTGACAGCAGTTTTTTACTGCTTCTTGCTAACGTTTTTCTTACAAAATAATTATGCTAAATCTTTTTTTATGAGTATGCTTTAAGGTAAAATTGCAAAGCGTAAATTTGACGACGGCCAAAATGTTTGCGCTTGTCATAGGGGAATGAGGAAGTTGAAGCATCCATCACCACTGTTGAAAATACCTTCAGACGATCGTTTCGCCTTGAATGATACAGTATTTGATAACACAGGATTTGATAGCTCTCCGCTAATTTCGCATGAAAGCAGGCTTATTGAAGCAGGAGAAGATCATAGTTTTGAAGGACAACATCTAGTATCAGCTACAGTAAGAGTCTTTTTGTAAAGTTTTAGTTTAAACTTAATTTGATGGAAAGAATCAATGGATTGAGAGTGTTCTTTTGAATGTTCTCTCAACAGCGTTTTTACGGAACTGGTTTTTAGCTTAACATGTTTTTTAATTTGTTCTTTGTGATCCTCAACTCTGTGGTACGGCAAAATAAAGGATCTGCTGCTGTCGGTTCTAGCTTAGGTCTAATTTAAGTTTTTACTTCAACTTGAAACACCTTGTATATTAACAAAAGTTTTGAACCCACAATTTAGTATTTGGGAAAGAGTTTTTAAGACTCTAATTTTTGCAAAAGAAATTTTTGCAATTGCTTTTGAGAAAGTGCAGAATTTTTTTTTTTGTTCAAAACCAATTTCTGGAAAGTTATTTTTTTATTCTTTCTCATCTGCTTAGTGGTTTTTAGCAGTCATTTATTTTTAAATTCATATTATTTTATTGTAAACTTTCTGTACTCATTGCGTGCAGAAATAATCAGTAAAGTGAGTGACTTCTTGAAAGCGCAAGTCCCTTCTCTCTGCTTAATCTATTTCGACTATAACCAACCTTAGTTTTTTATCTTTTCATGACAAGCTTTTTCCCTCTGGGGAGTCGTCAGGATTCTATAAATTCCCAGCATGTTGTTTGTACACTGTCTGAAACACAT